GGACCTAAAACAGGCAGGATATGGCTCTCGAGGAACCGGAGTTCCCTACCCCTGCTCTAGGCCAATGGAAAATTAGTAAGATAAGGTGTAGGACCCCCTTTAAACTGCACCCAGTAGGTAGTGAAGTTATTATTAGTCAGAGGGCCAACTGTAGCAGAAGTCTGTGTGAAATCACCTCAGTGATATGAAATCTGACAAGTCGCTTCTCATGTCACCACTTAGGCACCTGCTGCTGAGCTGAATGCTATTTAGCAAATTCATTAACACATTATGGATTAATTACACTCACAAACATACAATGCATGTGTTGTCTGAATCTTGTTTGTGTGCAAATGGTTTACTTCACAGGCCATATGGATATTTACAAGATTTTCACACACTAAGGTTGAGCACAGAGGCCCATCTAGCCCATTTTTAGGGGTGGCAAAACCATACAGTACTCTGTTCCATCCATCTTCTGATCCTCTTATCCTCACAAGGGTGGCGGGGCATGTTGGAGCCTATTCCAGCTGTCTTTGGGCAGTAGGCGGGGGACATCGTGAACTCTTTGCCAGCCAATCGCAGGGCATACATAGACGAACAACCATCCGTCCTCACACTCACACCTAGGGACAATTTAGAGTGTTCCATTAACATGCCACACATGTTCTTGGAATGTGGGAGGGAACTGGGGTACCCGCAGAAATCCTAGGCAGGCATGGTGAGAAGATGCAAATGCCACACAGGAAGGCCGGAGCCAGAATCGAAACCTGCACCTCTGCACTGTGATGCCGACACGCTAACCAGTCGACCACCGGGCTGCCCTGTACTAATTTGAAATGTAATATTTTTAAAACACAAATATTTTATCTTCCTCCCCCTTCCCTTAATTTAAAGAATGGTTTGATCGACCTCAGCCCTCACACATCTAGAAAAAAAAAAAAACTCCAGTTTGTTTCCAGCAGTTTCCAGCTCACAGCAAGCGGTAGGACATTGTTGCGTTTGGAGAAATAGCAGACTCATGTAGTCCTTATGAAGCCCCCACTCGTTGCAGTGGGGTTAGGGGATGTAATGGATTAACTTTTTTATTTTTCGGATCCACCTCTCCGCCATCATTGATTGACCATGATTGCTCAATCTGCCATTTAGTGTCGAATCCAGGTGTTCTTAATCACAGGCGCTGTCAAAAATGCTGCTTCAGTTGAGCCCCAGGATCCCTTCTCCAGTAACCTACTAAGCCAGGGGTAGGGAACTCCGGTTCCTCGAGAGCCCTATCCTGCCTGTTTTAGGTCCTTCCTTCCTCCAAGACACCTGATTCAAATGGTCAGCTCATCAGCAAGCTCTGTCGAGGCCTGAACACCTTAAATTTGGTGTGTTGGAGTAGGGAGGGACCTAAAACAGGCAGGATATGGCTCTCGAGGAACCGGAGTTCCCTACCCCTGCTCTAGGCCAATGGAAAATTAGTAAGATAAGGTGTAGGACCCCCTTTAAACTGCACCCAGTAGGTAGTGAAGTTATTATTAGTCAGAGGGCCAACTGTAGCAGAAGTCTGTGTGAAATCACCTCAGTGATATGAAATCTGACAAGTCGCTTCTCATGTCACCACTTAGGCACCTGCTGCTGAGCTGAATGCTATTTAGCA